CTGAACAACTCAAGACCGGCAAGTGCAACAATTACGCTACTCTGATGATGGAAACGAGGAAGTTTCCGAAACGTCAGTTCGAATACAATATGGTCCATGAATTCGCCCTCTCTACTTCTTCGTCTTCTTCGGGAGATGATGAGCGCGATACAGATAAACATATAAGGATAAGGATGTTTCCATTCGGTCATATGACAACACATGAAATGTCAGCCTAAATTCTGAAATGTGCTTTCGTTTTGGAAAGATTAATTAAGAAGGTTTGTAAAACTATTCATCTTGCAGCATAATGCTATAATAATTCCGTAACTACGGGTACCGGCTTTTGAACAAATTAGTTTTCAAGTGCATGTAAAAACCATACTCTGTAAAAAATAACTACTTATGTTACATTCTTTTTTGCCACTCGATGACTTTAAATATTAAGTTATATTTCGTGGAAGCTATGCACGAAATACTCATTCTTTTGCTCATTTGGTATATATTACGCCTATTTCCAGTTCTGTGCGCGAAGAAAGGGGGTATTACAGTTTTGAAAAACTTTTCTGATTCCCGAGTAAATTTGAATCCGAACTGCCGTTGCACTCGCATTAAGGGTTCGCAAATAACAAGCCGTATATTTTCCGCATACGGAAAACCCCACATTTCTCCACGGTAAAAAAGGAGGCCATATGGGGTTCAGAAAAATTAGCAGTGAATTCGAGCCATACTGTTAACTTTACAAGCCGCATTGGTAAACGCAAGGCCATGATGTTTTATGAATGGCCATTTCACGGTATTGAAAAATCGCATAATTAAAACCGTTATTGAAACCGAATTGTACCCTTCCTTCGTGTATAAAATTGAAAAAAGACGTACTTTCCTACGTAATGATGAAGGGAATGCATATTTTACGCATGTCTTCTATGAGAGATAATGGAATGTTTAAGGGTATCGAAAATAAATGAGAAAAATGCATACTAAATAAATAGTCATAATTTACAGAGTGTGGTTTTCAAATGAACTTGAAAAGTAGTTTGCTCAAAAGCCGGCATCCCGTAGTAACGGAATTATTATAGAATTTTGCCGTATGATGATTAGCTTTACAACCCTGTCTAAATAATCTTTTTGAGACGAAAACGCATTTTGTAATGTCGAATGACATTTCATGTGTTAGCTCACCTACTCTATTTACTGTTAACAAAACCGCAAATTACACGTGCGACAGGTCTGTCCTTGCCCATTCTGAGGGCGAGGCCCAACATCAGAGATCAAATTTTGTGAGGTCTACCATGGTGAGCCCTGGTATACGTACGGCTGCTGCACGCGTAAACGGAGGCTTTTACATTACGTATCAGTGTGCTAATTTAAGTAAGAAAGAAGGCCGGTTGAGCACTGAAACAATCTGTTCATTGTTCTCTGCTTTAGAACTCGCGCAGGAGTTTGTTTTCATAGATAGTATAACAACAGAACGAGCGGAAATTGTAGGACATGCGGGCCAACCATTGACTGATGGAGCAAGACTGGAGGTGACTGCGCAGGGCGCCGTAAACTGGCGTCAGATCAGTAGAACGATTGACTGAGTTCTCATCTGAGGCCCAGGCTTCTTTTGATTCTCAGTTTTTTATTTCTGGCGTGGCAATTATGTAGGTGGCTGTGAAGTTAAACTTATGATCCATTGGCAGCCTCGTCTCACAGCCAGCTTATGCTTGTGCATGCTCGATCCCGGCATGCGTCTAGTCTGACTTGTGCAGTTACAAGAACATGCGATACAGTACTCCAGATCGCTCCTCGGGATTTAATCGGTCCTTGATTTTCATGACTTTACTGCGCAAGATGGTTTTGGGCCGGTGTGGAATTCCAACACCTAGTTACGCATCAATGCGCTCAGTCGCTTCTGAAACGTCCTTAATGTATAACAGAGAATGTCATAGCCTTGGTGCTGTTGCTGCCTGTGCTATTTTCATTTCAAATCACTGTGACTCGTACAGACCCCTATCGCATAAAAGAAGGAAAAGGAAGTGATTTCCATTGGACTCGTCCCAACGCATAGATCCTCAACGTATGAACTGAATATGCTGTGAAACTAATAATAGCGCGCCTGCGGTCGCGAGATGGAATATTTCTAGATGTAATGACAGTTCGGTCCAGCTTGGGACCGAGAGTCGGGTCGCAGTGGTGGGCGTTATATCGACGTGCTCGACCTGAGATTTGAGACCCCTCTTTAGGGTCTAGTGCGTGTGAATAGAGTACAAAGACGTGACCCTTAGCTCAGTCACGTACGTGCGGAGTGCGCGCGTATATTGGTAGTGTCTCCTTGTAGACGACTGACTGCTTTTCCGGCTCTAAAGGGTGATGACCTAGGCTAAATGCAGGACTGCGTCTCACCCTTGCGGACTTTAGGGATTGTGTGCGTATGCTATGCCATGCTTCAGCAGTCTAGTCTGCTCTGGCATCTGGTTCCCTACCAATGGATGCATTTGCGCTCCCGTTGAGTATACAGGCCGTGTGCATAGTTGTCCAGTGGCTTGTGCCATCCTCCTCTTCCTGGCCCATCCGCTTTGCTGGGCAAATTCCTGGT